TGGAGCAATCCATAAAGCCCTACGTTGTTTTGATAATTCATATTTGTAGATCAAAAGCCAATGATTTAAAATAGCAGGAACTTAATAAAATTTCACATTATCCCTGTTACCTCGACTTCCACACCCAATCTATTTTACCAGACAAAGAGGTAATAATACGAAAACTTCATTAAATAAAAAAAGACACAGAACGTTCATTGCACAAGACGAGGCAAAATGTACCAAATTATGTTAGACTTACGTATAGAAATCCATCATTCTTATTTGCACGGGATAAAAAGGGAAGAAGAAAAACCGCGTGTTGTGCAACGTATTTGTCAATGAAAATGTCAAACAACTTTTGAATGACATTTGCCAAGGAAAATGCTCTGAAGAGTTGGCACGTATGATTCCACCGAGAGTAGCACCTACCAGGCGAACCCGTCAAACAGACGGTAACCATGAATTCACTGTCAAACTAGAGGCACCAAGAACCTCATTATATCAGAATTCATATCTCTGGAGAACAGCATCGCTGTGGAATAAACTCCCTGCGACGGTTTTCCCTGCAGGTTACAACCTGAACCGTTTCAAGACCAACATACACCGACATTTCCGCGCACTTGCCGCTTCTCGAGCGTGATAGGACATTTCCTTGCGAGTGCGCATATCCGTAAAAAAAAAAAAAAAAAAGTTGAATATCAACTTTAGATTTATTCTTGTCAGACCACGTGCAATGAACAAGGACAAAGAGATGTCCAGCGTGCAAAACGATCACCTCACACCTGTATTAGTTAGCCAATAAAAAGAAATTGCCTCGTGTTGCGCGCGCATAACAGGTAAAAATAGATAGATCTATTACGATGCAAATCGCTGGCATTTTAAGTAATTAACACAATACCTAAACACACAAAAAAAACACAAAATCCGATAATTCAAATCTGGACGTTTGTCCAGAATGTGACAGAATCAATGACATACAGAATAAACAACACCGTGCTTGACCCAATGCTTGACCCGAACTTCCATATTGAATTTCATTTTTGACAGGTCAGTAGATTGCCTAATTAGGCAATCCAAAGGGGTTTTCGAGCGCTTGACCGGTAAATACCATTTACTGTCAGTATTTACCAATTTAATTTAAGCGGTTTGGTAATTCGTGGTCATGACCTAAAAACGAGCCCTTGGTCTTCGTTTTGACGTTATTTTTCGACATTGACAAGCAGCGGTATTTACACAACTTTCGACCTGTTTTTCATCTCCCACCATTTGTTGATGACAATTGACTTACATTTGAAAAAATTAATGGTGAACGTTTCTTTTTCTTTTTTGTTTATTTTGTTATTTGCAATTTGCATTTGCGGTTGTGTTAGTCCAGTGGTCCAGTCCCAGTTTCAGTATTATAAATTTGTAATTTAAATGGATAGAAGAGAAAGGTTCCAAATCCTCTTGAACTATGAAGGAAAAGATTTTCAACATCGACGATATGGATACAGCCCAAGGAATATTAAATGCATCTTCATCTTTGAAAGAAACGAGCAAACCAGAGAATAGAAAATTAATTGGAAAATAATAAGAATATAATTGTTTAGTTAGAGCTTAAAATGTAAACAAATACAAGGGGATTAAGGGGAAGGGAGAAGCAGACAAATTTGACAAATCAAAACCAAAATGATAACCAACTAATTTCAAGCGTTTTGGAAGTGCTTTGACCATAAACTCTCAAACAAACGTCAAAGGACTGTGACCCAGGACAACCAAGGGCATGACTGCGGTATTTACCGGTCAAGCGCTCGAAAACCCCTCAAACCACGTGACTTTTTTTGGCGCATTGTTGGCACACAAAAGATTTTCTTGGTTAAATATTGTCCATGCGTTCGGTATTTTGCTCAAAGAGCAGAGCGTGTTGAGCAGAGCCGTAATCACGTGACCAACGAGCGAACAGATCAATAGACCTATCTATTTTTACCTGTATGCGCGCGCAACACGAGGCAATGCATTTTTATTGGCTAACTAGTACATGTGTGAAGTAATTCTTTTGCACGCTGGGCATCTCCTTGTCCTTGTTCATTGCCCGTGGTCTGACAAGGATAAAATTATGCTTGATATTCAACTTGACGTAGCTTGACAAGTGATCGATTTTCAATTGTTTGTGTTTTTGATTGACAGATACGTTGCATGTCACGCGATTTTCCTGCTTCCTTTTTTATCCCGTGCTAATAATAAGAACGGATTGCTATACGTAAATCATACCCCGCGATCTTTAAATGTACCACTTGGTTTGATAAAAAACTTGTTTCATGCCCGGTAGAGGCGCTACCAATTGATTTGCGTACGCTCTGTTGATTGTATCTCCAAGGTATCTCCGCTTTGGAGAAGAAGGGAGACGTTATTTCCTAAGGTTATTTCCAATTAAATGACAAAATGACAAATGATGACAAAACGATGAAGATGAACTGCAAAACGTTGTGCTTCTTGTTGTTGTTTTTTAATATATCTGTTTGTTAAAAAAGTGTTTCGTATTGTGTAGCGTTATCTGTGTGTATTTGTGGACTTTCACAACGTTGTGTTTAGTGTAACCACTAGGTATTATTGTTATTTAATTATGTGTTGTTGAGGGTTGACTTTGTTGACAAGTTGCGAAATGCCCAACATAACTTTCTTCTTTCTTTGTAATAAACCGTTATTTGTTAAATTTGTATCAAATTGTTTATTTATCATAAAATAAATAAAAAGCAAATCTAAAAAAAATAGAAGGAAACTACTCTACAAGCTGCTACAATGGGATGAGCTCTTTTCATAGATACCAGATGGCACCACAAATGGTGGTTCGACCCGTATAACGCAAGTGTCCATTCTATCCCCATTATAAACCTTATTCTATGACGTAAGTCTAACATAATTTGGCACGTTTGGACTCGTCTTGCGCAATAAGCGTTCTGCGTCTTTTTTTATCTAATAAAGTTTTCGTATTATTACCTCTTTGTCTGGTAAAATAGATAGGTCTATTGAACGCAGTATCCGAGTGGCCGAAATTTTAATAAACGAACGCAAATGAGCCTGCTCCGAGTACACTTTCTGAATAAACGATTTAAACGAACGGTAAAGTCTGTTTTTTTTTTTAAAGATAATTCCCCAAGTCAAAAATCTAGTAACTATGTTGGCAACACAAGCCTTTCCTACATAAAAAAATTTGAAAGCATTGACAATTTTACATTGTATTGCCAACATAATGTCATTTTGACTTTTATCTTTAAAAAAAAAAACAGATTTTAAATTCAAGCTCGGAAAACTCTGATCAGGATACCGAACGCGCGGTGTGTCATTTTCTGTGTTGACTCCATATTTTGCTGTTTATTGCTTAATTTTATGAGTTTTGAGACCTAAAAAAACGCATACTTACAATAATTTAGAAATATTTTGAAAGGAAATTTGTAAAAAGCTGGAATTAATTATTTTAATATCCCCAACATCAAAGGTAAACACAAGGGACGATGACTGATGACAATAGAAATTAAGGGTTATGGGCACTTGTGTGCCAACAGTCGGCCATATTTGACACATCGTTGGATTGCCTAATTGTTTTGCCAAACACTCTGCACTGTCAGATTCAAATAAGACCGCATTCTTGTGTTGAATACCGCTTCATATTCGTAAATGTCAATTCTCACTTATGACCTGTGCTTATGACACATGTCAAATTTCAACCATATATGGCTGCCATCAAACCAGTGTTGCCATATTTAAATTGTATTAGCCTATCCAAAACATGTGACTTTGACAAGCAAACAAAGAGTTTGTGTGCCTCTTGGCGGACATTTTAATTTAGGTTTGACAGCACCTTGGTTAGTCGCCTATTCAAAACGCATGACTTTGATAAGAGAACACAGGGCCGAGTTCAGAAATAACGCACAGGGTGCGAATGCGATTTTATGGGTGTGCCTGAATGCCATTGAGCTGAATGCCCTGAATTGACAATTGGCCATTGGGCCCATAGCACCGTCTAGCGTTTTTGAACAGCTAGGGCGTCGCACCGGTGTCACACTCACACTGGGTATGTCATTCCTGAACTCGCCCCAGTGTTTGTGTACCTCTTGGCGGACATTTTTATTTAAGTTTCACAGCATCTTGGATAGTCAGCCTATCAGATTTACGCAATATGTGGTGCTCTTGCTTTATAAATTATGAGACATTGAAGAAACCCGAATTCTAAATCATTGAGTACTGCACTGAAAAGAAGAATACTTTGCCTCAAAGGAAATTCACATTCAATCAAACGAATGGGGACTTTGATATGGGCTAAATGAATGAGGGGTTTAAATTAAACATGGCAATACTTTGAGATAAGACTGCGATATTTCCTTGTTCTAACGATATTTGCATTTATATCAAGCTACTTTGTGATTTTATAACAAATGCATGCTTTTAACATTAAACCAGCAAATATTTGTTTCAAATGCTTGTGGTTTTTGAGTCAATTGATTGGAGGCTTGCTGCAAAATCTTTGAACCTTCTCTCAAAAGCCTAGTACTTTAACCCAAATATAATAATCTTTTACTTTAAATCTGTTGGATTTTGGGTAAAGGATTTCTTAATTTGAATCAAAACTCCCATTTTTGATTTTAAATCCATTGGCATTTGAATTAAGGAATTTCGGAACTTGTAACAAAATGCGGATTTTTTTATTGAAATCCATCGGATTTCACTGAAATAAATTTAATGGGGACTTAAAAAAAACAAAATTTTCTCAAAAAATTTATTTTGAGATACTTATGGCCGTTTCTACCAACTATTTAAGGGAAGCCTTAACGATAAGTATTTCTTAAACTGACATTTCTTCATGGAAGACTGTCATTTTAAGGAATACTTAATACTAATAATTAAGGCTTCCCTAAAATAGTTAGTGGAAACGGCCATTAATAGAACAACTTAATACATATTCAGACGAAGTTGAACTTGTGCTTGCCACATCGCTACACATAAAATCTGTTATTTCCAATCCTGAACAAGAAGCCGGGAAATCAAACCGATCCTTCGCATCTCCAGTAACTAGGATCCACATCAGGGATATTTTCAAAATCCAAGGTTGATGGCCCGGTTGATGGTGATTCGGGACTGTCAATGTCAATGTGTATGGTGCTAAATACACTTTGCTGCCCTATGTCAATCACTTCCTCACCCTCTGAATTTAACTTTTTTTTTTGGATGGCGCTGGATCCTAAAAAACATCAGCAACAATAAAAATAATCTTAAACAACACACAAACAAAAAAAAGTTCCTACAAAAATTGGATTTAACAGACAGTTGTCTCAAAACTATTATGCTTTTAAGATAAAACCGGGGAATTCACTACAAAATTTTAAAACTTCTCGTCAAATAACGCATTCTTTTGTGAGAAAGTTGCTGCTTTTGGGATGAGTGTTTATCATCAATTTTATTTACAAGTTTATACAAATCTAAATCAAGACGCCATGGGCCATGGGGAAACTAAGCTCCTAATCTTTTCAATCAGGAATATATGTAATTATAGATTGGCATTTCTTAAAACAATTTTTTGGCATAAATAAAGTTACTAGTTAAGCTATTAGGTAGGTATTATTATTAATGCAAATCTTGGTTAATGGCAAAAAGCGTCGAAAAGTTTACAAAAACTTACTTTCAAATTTCGTCAGTAAATGGCTTATTTTCCACATTTCCAATAATGCTTTCAAATCCATTTTCAACTCTAATTGCAAATTTGTGTCACTTTCAAAAATTTCGGACCATACGAACGCCTCTCGACGCGACCTCGACCCTCGACCTAAACTCAACTAAACTATGAACCGAAGAGGCTGAAGGACGAAAACAGAAAGAAAGAATGGCGGAGTCAGCGTGTAGCACAAGCACTACTTATGGACTCGGGGAGAGTCGGGTCAGTTCGTGTCCCGATCCCGATACTAGTGCCAAGAGGTGCTGTAGCGAAACGCCTCGATTTTCCCTGCGACTTGCAGCAAGTGCATATTACTTTAACATAAAATTTCGAAAAAAGGGATTTATAGTTAAATGCAGTTATTTTCAGTCAAAATAATTATTAGCCAAACGAATCGAGAGGTAGCCGCAAGCACACGCAATATCTTATCCGAACGTCAATTAGTTTAAAATAAATAAAATTTATTTGAACTGAAAGCATATTTGCCAAATGAATGCAATCTTTTGTCACAAGGTGACTATTTTTATCAGTGTGTCACCAATTGCAGACCGGTTTTGAGCTTGTTAGCTCTCGTCAGTGCAACATAAACGAAAGCACGTTATGCATTAACTAAGAGGAAAAGGCTTAAAGGAGATTTACAGTTTACACGATAAGAAAGAGATAGACCTTTAAAAACGTGTGACTCCCTCGCTTCAAAATCCTACAAAGCAAAAAACCAAAAACGAAATTAAGATTTTGGAAAGTTTCCAATATTTTTAAAATTTATACAATTAACTTCGAAATAATAAAACATGTTAGTAGAGACTCTATTATCAATTTTTCTTTTAATTCAGGTTCATCTGTGCGAAGCCGAAGGCCTACCAGACTTCAACGGCGGTTCTTCGTTCCACAAAAAACAACTGGTCATCGTCAAAAGCCTATGGAGAGGATGTGGAGATTCTAAAAGGTAAATCTCGAGCTAAATGACTTTACGACCCTCCGCGTCGTTGTTATGCCGCGCGAGACTCCGGAGGCTCTATTGACTTAGATTATAAGTTTAAATTGGTCGAGGGGGAGAGTTTAATCCTCAAAATATTCTTTTTATTAATTCAGGCACGAGTTCCTAAGAGAGACATCTTGGCTGGCCGGTTTACGAGATCCGAATCTGGCCAGAGTGGTGGGACTTTGTAGCCAGGACGAACCGATGTGCGCTTTGTTAGAGCACTCGGACGGCGGAGAGCTACCGAAATTTCTAGCTTCTAGAGTCGTTTTTGAAGATGGAAATCCTGTCGCTCCGACTGTCAGGTAAGAACCTGAATTTTAGCCACCGAAGATTCAATTTTAACTTTGAAAAAGTCCCTCAAAATCGTTTTTTACGCTCGAACAAGTTAAAAACCACCGCCGTAATTTTTGGTTGCTTGCATCGGCAAGAATTGTTGGAGCGTGGCAAGAACTTTATTTTGGCGAATAGGGGACCAAAATAAAATAATAATAATTTGATGCTAGGGCCGATGACGAATTCGGTGTCATTAAAATCGCATTAAATAGATACCTAGTTCCGCTAGGGAGTCGTAATAACAAAATGGCGTGTAAAAGATTACTGATTGGGTTAATTATTACTCCCAAAACTGCTTATTTAATTTGCTCGAATGCAAGGGTTAATCTATAGTTCATACAAAATTAAAATCGATGCACGCCACGTAAACTATCCCTGTATCATGAAAATATGAAATTTTCCATCAAAATCAAAGTAAGATTATGGATAAGGGGTGTCCCTGTTGGAAAAACTATCAGTGAACCAAAAATTAATAAATCAAACTCTGATTATTAGCCTTTACATTACTAATTTATATTGCAGCTATGGATGACTGAATGTGTTTATAAAAGAATTATGTTTTAAATTAAGCAACTTGTGTTTTTAAAAAACTTTATTACTTAATTCATAACGTGTGAACCCAGTGAAGCGAACTAAGGAACTAACTTATTATTCCCTTGCTCGTATTTATAGGTATAAAAGATTAAATGCTGAGCTGGCCTATGACTAATTGTAATTACAATTATCCTGAATCATCGGGGTTGATTTTCGAGGGGTTTCAATTTTATGTCCACCTTTACATTGTTTCCAGATTTCTTATTTTTACAATAATAATATAATAGAAGCACTGCGATAATAATAATGATTATAGTAATGGTCAGATTATTAAATAAATTAATAGATAAAAACTAAAAATTTAAACGAAAAATCACGTGATTGAAAACGCTCTTTGATTGGCTAAAGCCGATTTTGCGTTTTTGTTGCCACATGTAGAAATGCGAAATTTAAATCAGTTAATATGGATTATATCTATCCGTTATTTTCTTATAATGTAGTAAAGGACGAAAATAGTTTCTAGCTAGTGAAATGTGTAATGATTTACTAATGAGAAATTTGGCATCCTCGCATTTTTGTTGATTTTCTGGTTTGTGACGTGACAAATCAAGTTCACGTTTTCGCGCCAGTTTAAAAATTGCTCAAGAACTATTTGAACTATCAAACTTAATTTTACACAGATTTATAGAAAATTTAATGCTCTTTCCAATGATATATGATTTATTTCAATTTGCTCGAAATTTAACAAAGATATGGGCAAATTAGATAGGATTCTATTTAAATTATGAGAAATGTTAAAGAAATTATGCGAAATTATGTTGTAATTATATTAGAATTATGTGAAATTTGATAGAAATTATGCGAAAATATATTGTAATTACTTTTGGAATTTCCAGATATGACATGGAATTCCATTTAATTTCAATTAAGTAAGTATCTGAGAAATGACGACAAAATTCCAAAAAAAAAGTTTAAATTTTAGCAAAATTCCATAGAAATTATGCAGAATTCCTCAAAATTTAGACGGAATTCCATTGAAATTACATAGAGTTTCAAATAGGTATGCTAAATTTCATCAAAATTATACGGAGTTCAAGTGAAATTGAAGGAGTAATGACGTGAAATTCCAAATAAAAAATATTCATTTTAGAAAAATTACATGAAATTCTATAGAAATTATTCAAAATTCTATAAAAATTATGCGAAAATTCAGTGAAATTGCATGGAATTCTGGGAAAATGACGTAAAATTCCAAAAAAATTGTTGTTTCGATTAAATTACATGAAAACCCATAGAAATTATGTGGAATTCCATAAAAAATATGCAAAATTCCATAAAAATTATGCGAAATCTCGTAGAAACTAGGAGGAATTCCATTGTAATTATGCCAAATCCCATTAAAATTATGCGAATTTCTAGTGACATTAAATGGAAAACGACAAAGAATTCCAAAAAAGCATTGAGTTTAAAAAAAATCAAAATCCCATAAAATAGTTATATGTAGATTTAAGTCATATAGATTTCCATAGAAATTATGCGAAATTTCATAGAAACTATGCAAACTTCCACTGAAATTATGCGGATTACGTGGAAATTATGCGAAATTTCATAAAAATTGTGTGCAATTAAATAAAATTCCAGTAAAATTTATTAAAATTCCAGGGATACGACGTAGAATTCCAAACAAAAATATGTGGAATTCCGGTAAAATTATGAAATTCCAATAAAATGCCAATAATTTTCCTGGAGTTCCAAGTAATTTCTGCGAAGATTTAAATTATTCTCGTAAAATTCCAAAAAAAAAAATATGATATTATTTAAAATTCCTGTGAATTTCCGAGGAATTCCTGTGAAATTTCTTGCAGTTACAGAGAATTTCCTTGAAATTACGTGGATTTTTTGTAGAATTCCAGAGAATTTATATGGAATTCTGGTGTACAATTTTTTTTTTTTTTTACTAAAAAAAAATTTTTCCAATACATTTCAGAGACCTTGACACCGTCGGCGTCATTATACGGTTGCGCTGAATTTTACCTTATACCTACTTCAAAATTCAGGCAAATTTTTATTAATCAATTAATTATTATTGAAATTTGAAATAACTAATAAGTAATAGGCTACTAACAACTTACTCAAATATCAGAAATCTTGTGAAATTATTTGGGATTTTAGTGGAATTAAGTGGAATTCCAATGAAATTCCATTAATTTTCCTGGAATTCTAGAAAATTCCTGTAAGAAATTCTCGTGAAATTTTAAATAATTCTTGTGAAATTATTTCGAAGTTCAGTGAAATTCCAGTAAAATTATATGAAAATTCGAAAAAATCCCAATGAAATTCCATCTATTTTCCAAAAATTCCACGTAATTCTCGTGGAATTCCAAGTTATTCTCGTAAAATTCCAAAAAATTCCCGTAAAAATTACATTAAATTTTCATGCAACTTTAAGAAATTTTTGAGAAATTATTTATAATTATAGTGGAATTACGTGGGATTCCGGTAAAATTATGTGATACTACGAAAGAATTACGACGAAATTTTCCGAATATTCGACTCAATGCCTGCGGAATTTTAAGTTATTCTCGTGAAGTTCCAGAAAATTCTTATGAAATTCCAAAATATTTACGTAAAATTACGTGGAATTTTCGCTAAATTTCCAAAAAAAAATCCTGTAAAATTACATGGAATCCTTGTAAAATTCCAAAAAAAAATATCCTTAAAGTTACTAGTAATTTCAGTGGAATTTTGGAGAACTTGGTATCACTTGGAATTCTCGTGAAATTGAAAGAAAAAATCGCAAAAATTCTTGTGAAAATACTTAAATTTTTTATTGAATTCCCAAGAGTTCTCGTGAAATTACATGGAATTCCCGCGGAATAACTCAAAATTTAAGTGAAATTCTGGAATAATATGAAATTCTCGTGAAATTCCAAAAAGTTCCTGTGAAATTACCTAATAGTTTAGCAATATTCCTGTGGAATAAAGGAACTTCAGTGGAATTACAAAAAAAAATGTGAAATTTCAGAAAATTTCTTTAAAGCTGCTTCAAATTTTCGTGGAATTGAAAAAAAAAATTCTTCCTACGGAAAAACTAGAAATTCCATATGATTTCCATGAAATAATGTACTTGAAATTTTATTGAAATTCCAAAAAAATCCTGTAAAATTACTCGAAATTCCAAAAATTTCTTCTGAAATTTCTTAGGTAATTTTACTGAAATAAAATTATTTGAACTTCTTCTGAAATTATTTGGAATTTAAAGAAATTCGTGTAAATCAAAATTCTCGTAAAATTCCAAAAAATTCACAAGACACTACTTAAAAAATCGTAGAAATAATTATGAAATTCCAAAAAAAAAAATCGTGAAATTATTTCTTAAATTTCAGCAAAATTCCAAGGAATTTTTATGAAATAACTCAGAATTTCAGTGGAATTCCAAAAAAATTTACGTGAAATGACCTGAAATACTTATGAACTATCAAAAAGTAATTTGTGAAATTACATGAAATTCTAAAAAATTCCTGTGAAAATACAGAAAATTTCTGTGGAACTAATTGGATTTTTGAATTCTGGTGTGCAATTTATGAACATTTTATGAACATTCCTGTAAAATTCTATAATAAGAATTTCAGTGGAATTTTGGAAAATTCTTGTAAAATTACACGAAACTCTCATGAAATATCAGAAAATTCCTGAAACATCCTACAAACATTCCCAGAATATTCTATAAACATTCCCCGAATATTCTTCAAAAATTTCCCAAAAAAAAAACATGTTGGAACATTCCTGAAACATTCCATAAACATTCTTGCAACATTTTATAAACATTTCTAAATGATGGATTCTTTGAAAGTGGAAGCACCAAATATAAGTTTGTGAATATCAATAAAAACACTACTACACTTTGAACAACGTTTTATTGATTAATATAAGAAAACTAAACTCAGCTTGACATTAAATTGGTTAAATAATTACAGCCACTTTACAGCCAAAACGTGGACTTACTTAAAAAAACAGAAAAAAAAAAACATTGGCTAACCTTACAACATAACCACACATTATATTATTAACACCTTAGACAAGGACAGGACCGAACTTAACTTGGAGTACTCTAGACTCTATAGAACATGTCTTTTGATTGCAAATCCAACACCCCTTCTCAATCAAAAGATATATATTTTATAAGTTTTTACAATACAGATATCAATCCTAATCCTATTTTATGTTTAGCAAACAAATCACCAGTTAAATTCTTGGTTAGAATGTCGGCGATTTGTTCACCAGTTGGTTTGTACTCTACAACTACAGTACTACTATTGACCAAATCTTTAATGAAATTGTATTTGATATCAATGTGCTTTAATTTTCTGTGATCAAACCTCCTTGTCAACTTGATACAGGATTGGTTGTCCTCAAATATGACAAAACTGGTTTT